TGCTTGCTTGCTTGCTTGCTTGCTTGCTTGCTTGCTTGCTTGCTTGCTTGCTTGCTTGCTTGCTTGCTTGCTTGCTTGCTTGCTATAAAGCCAATATAAAGGTCATGTATGACCCCGGAGCACAGCTTTAACCAGTATGAATTAGCTAGGGTTGATTTGAGAGGAGGTGAGTGCAGGATGCAAAGATGGGTGCGAAGAGAAACAACAACAACTTGCAAAGAATGGATTAATAAAGACGATAAAAAAATCCCATGACGAGAAGACAATAAACAGTGACATTCCGCATGTTATTCTTCTACCAAATGATGTAATTCAAGGCTTTTTTAACGTTTGAAATAAGTTTCAAGGTAAAAGTATTTTTTTAGGAAATTAGATTGAAGAAAAACCAATAAATTTACATTTTAAGTTTCAAGGTGCTTCGACATTTGAACACAGGATTTTCAATTACATTATGAATGGATTTTGAAGGGAGTTGTAGGACTGGAGTGGACGTCACCCAGGCTACAATGTAACTAATCAACTCATATCATCAGCCGCACCGGATCAAAGCCTGTACAATATCTTAATAATATCGTATGCATACACCCATTTCAAAAAACAATGTAGGTCGGATATTTAATTTTGTGTGTGTGTGTGTTTTTGCATTTGGGGGGGAGGGGGGGGGGTTGGGTAGAATAAAGAAAATCATATTTCTAACTCAAAGGTCATGCTTCATATTTCAATCTAAAAGAAAACTTAGGCTGTGAACATTATATTACGATTTTCAGCTTGCTACTTTGGTTTTAGATTTTATTTGCGGTTACCAACAAGTAAGGAAAAAATCAAACTTCCTATTTATTTACTTATTTGTTATTTGAGCTTTACATATCCAAATAAAGATTTCTAAAGGGGTTTTGCTTGGAGGTAGGGAGATCTTATGCCTGTAGAGCTTTTACATTCAAACTAAGAAAAACGTGAACACCAAAAACCAACCACGCCCTATATATTGTTTGATGTCGGATTTGAATTTTGATGGAAAACCTGTCCCGGGTACTTTTGAATTCAGTATTGATACTAACAGGGGAGAGCGGGGAATTTTTTTTATTATTATTTTTGGCAAGTCTTTGAACGCATGCGCTTTTATACCGGAAGTATTATGCCAGAGCCCTCGGTCTTCGCCGCAGGCTCTGGGTACGAGATTGACTAAGCTCTCATTCCCAGAGCCGTTATTTCTTAATACGCATGCTCAATGAAATGAACTTATGGAACCACCCATGGATCCGCCAGTCCATCTGTGTGCAAACGAAAGTCACTTTATGAACGAGTCTTACTTGTATATAATAAACCTTTTACTTATACGGCGGCCATTTTGAATTATGGGATACCGAGAGGGCTAACAAAGAACATTCATAAAGCATAGAGTCTTGGCGTTTCGCATATCGGCTCCAACTACCAAAAAATTCAATTGCTTTTTAGGTGTGCATCTTATTCAAATTTGTAAAGTCATCAATTTAAAAAGACACCCTGACAGCTGTGCAGTCTATACATTTTCCAATAGTTGTCCCCTCAGCATCCCATATAGAATTCAAATGGCCGCTGTATCAGTAAAAAGACTAAAGAAACCTCGAATCCTAATTTATTGTATTTTTGATCAAAGAGAAAACACTTATTAGGCAAGAACGGCGCTTGTTTTCTGTTTTTACTGATTAATTGATTTCTTTTTTGGATCCCATGCGAACGATAAGCACGATGGCGCAGATAATGCCAAGAATCTGTAAGGAAAAGGAAATAAAAACAAGCTTAGAATCACTGGTAAGGGGAAAAGACAGACAGACAGACAGACAGACAGACAGACAGACAGACAGACAAAATCAGTCTACAAAATTTAAACTTAAAGGCAGCAACCATCGAAAGAACAAATAAGTAAAGGTACATTTTTATTGGTGGGAGGTGAGGGCTGGTTCTTCAGCTAAGGTAGGGTCATGATCATCAAAAAAAAATATTTGAACTCTTGTAGAGGGTTCACGTACTGAGTGAAAGCTGGACACAACAATTTTTAAAACGTTTACTGCGAAAAACAAAACAAGTGGAGAGAAACGAGCAAACTAATAAACACGTAAATAACTGATCATTAAATAGCATTAAACACCAATTAGTATTGATTGGTTTTGCCATGAACAAACCTGAATGACGAGTAGTGCAATGGCCACTCCGCCAATCGCTCCCATTATCTTGTCATTGTCATCCAAGACGATTTGGTAACATCCCTTAAAACAAGAAGTATACATTTAGAATCCACTCCACTCCACTCCACTCCACTCCACTCCACTCCACTCCACTCCACTATATCCTATAACCTACCCTTTGATTGATGTTTTCTAATGTCTTGTTGTTAGCTACAGGAGAAAGAGCGTTCTTTCCGCATGCCTTTGTGACCTTCTTGCAGCAAGAATCGGGAACGGATAAATTCTGTTTATACTCAACGTTAACATTCCAATCTTTGTAGTCATTAGCACCACAGCAGTTGAGCTGTGAAAGAAATTTATATCGATTGTTTAGCTGTGCTGTGCTGTGCTGTGCTGTGCTGTGCTGTGCTGTGCTGTGCTGTGCTGTGCTGTGCTGTGCTGTGCTGTGCTGTGCTGTGCTGTGCTGTGCTG